AATTTCATCATAATATTATTCCTCCTTCTCCTTTCTTGCTTTTCTGATTCTTTTGATATTCTTGACCTCTCGTTCATCAAAAATGTGCTTAAATAATCTAAGGTCTTCAACATGAACCTTTTCTCCTTTAATAAATTCAACATTGGGTCATTCTCAAGTTTCAAAATTATTCTTGCTGTTTCAATTTCTTACTTGATAAACAACTATTTCTCTGTCATTGGCGTCAGTGCCATACATTAAGCGAATATGGCTCTTTTGAATTCGTCTATTGATTTCCTGAACTAATTCCTCGGTTTTTGAAGTTTCCAATCTTAACTTATTTCCCAACCTGTCTTCTCAACCTCGTTCTTCGTGTTTTCCATCTTTTTTCCAATTTGAACTAGACCAACCATATTGTTTTTCCCGAGCATATGCTTCGGAGGCTCAACTCGGTTGAATTGTTTGAGTAGTTTGATTTGACTCCTGATTAGTTTGCACATCAGACCTTCGTCTGTCAACTTGACTAGTGCTTTCGTTTTGAATTATTTTATCTTTTAGCATACATGATGATTTTAACCCAATTGTTTTTAGCAATTGCATTTATGATTTTGCAATCAGTTATCTATTTCTTTTCAAGTTAAAGATGGCTTTCATTCGGCGATGATAGTTCCGCAGCTCTGGTGTTCTAAAAGAAAGTATCATCGCATTGCTGCTGGTTCATATTTGGCTATTCAACTAACTTCTCAATCGTGAATAGAACCTTTCTTGTTTTTAATTCAATAATCTTCCAATTGTTTATTCAGCTTTCCAACAATACTTTCAGCTTCTTGTTTGGCTTTTTGAAACCAAGCATCATAGTTTCCTTGCTCTTGGTTATATTTAAATAGAACTTTAAATTCTTGGGTTTTATTCTTTTCCATTTAATTCCTCCTCGCAAACTTGACAAATCCTTTTAAATTTAATCAATTTGATAAACTCCAATTCTAGACCACAAAGCGAGCATTTTCGTTGGCAATATCAATAAATTAATAATGCTATTATAATACTATTAATTAGGCTTAAAATTAAGGCAATTAGAGCTATGCTCTTCATGGTTCAT